ATAATGTTGAGCAGCAAAAACCGGGACAGGAAAGATTAGATGCTGTTTGGTTCAGCTTTTACAATTAAAAAAAACAAAAAGCCAAAGTCCTATCGGATTAGCCTTGAAGGAAGGCATCCGTGAGAATGGACGCAAGGGGGCGCACAGGAGTCCGGCCGGTGTGGTTTGCTGGCCTGCCACTGTGGGAAGCGCAGCCAGCCACACACATCTGATGCATTCTGTTTTCTGAACGTTATTTCTCTGCAAAACATTTTAGTTAAGTAAGGTAGTTGAGCTCTGTACAGAATTTTTTATTGAACATTTATTTATTTTTATTGGAAAGTCAGATTTACAGAGAGAAGGAGAAACAGAAAGATCGTCTGTCCAAGTGGCTGCAACAACTGGAACTGAACCTATCCAGAGCCAGGAGCCAAGAGCTCCTTCCTGGTCTCCCATGTGGGTGCAGGGTCCCAAGGCTTTGGGCTGTCCTTGACTGCTCTCCCAGGCTACAGACAGGGAGCTGGGAGGGATGTGAAGGAGCCAGGATAGGAACTGGCGCCCATGTGGAATCTCAACCAAGCAAGGCAAGGAGTTTTTAGCCACTAGGCCACAGCACGCCAGCCTCCACCCCCTCCTTTTTTTTTAAAGATTTCTTTATTTGAAAGGCTGTGCTACAGAGAGACAAGGAGGCGAGAGAGGAGAGACACCTTTCATGTGCTGCTTCAATTCCCCAGACAATCACAATGGCCAGGGCTGGGCCAGGCCAGATGCGGGAGCCTGGCATTCCATCCGGGTCTCCCAGGTGGCTGCAAGGGCCCCAGGAGTTGAGCTCATTAGCAGGGAGCTGGACTGCAGGTGGAGCAGCTGGAACTTGAACAAGCACTCAGGTTGGATGCCAGCATCATAGGCAGCAGGCTCACCATGGCATGACCCCAGCCCCCAGCACCGCAGGCTTAACGTCTTTGCAACGTCGCCTGGAGTAACAACCACCACCACTGTGCCTGACACTGAGAGGACCTCTCCTGTCCTCCCCCACCGTCTCAAGTGGCAGCTTAACCCACTGTGCTACGACGCACGCCTGTCTCTGTTTCTCTTCCCGATTCTGTGTTTTCCCCAAGTGTCACATGCTTCTCTCCGCCTGACTGTGCATCAGAATTACACTGCTAAGTGCACTCAGCGCTTGGAGTCGAATTTCTAATGTCACCCCAGTCATAATTTTACTATCATTTTGTTTTAAATGTTTAGTTATTTGTTTTTATTTTATTTGAAAAGCAAAAAGAGAAGAGAGCTCTTCCAGCCACTGCGTCTCCCTGTAAATGCCTGCCACAGCCAAGGTCGGGTTAGGTCAAAGGCGCGAGGCTGGTGCTCAACCCAGGCTTCTCACTGGGCGGCAGGGACCGCACGCATGCATGCCATCACCTGCTCTCTCCCAGGGCACACGTTAGCAGCAAGAGGATCAAAAGCAGAAGGGGGTATATAAACTAATAATTGTAATGTCAATGTAGAAGTCATAGGATGTGGTTCAGAACTTGTACTCTTTTGTTGTTGTTGTTGTTGTTGTTTTCTCTCGCTCTCTTTGAACTTGCTGGTTACACAATATCATATCAACTAATTCTGGTACGTTATAAATTGTTATTGATGTAATGTCGGGGCTTTCAATAGATTGGGATGATACTCTTTCGGCCAGTGCCTGTAAAACTGTGTCTCATGATGCAATGTAATAAAAAAAAAAAAAAAAAAAGGCAGAAGGGGAACTCAAACAAGGCTCTCTGAGATGCAGGCTTCCCGAGCAGCGACTCAACTACGATGCAAAATTCCCTCGCCATGCATAATTCCAAACACTAGGTAAATCAGAGTTCTTAAGAATTACTTGTAAAAAGCACACACTCACTACTCACTCGGGCCTGGTGCAGAAGCCTATTGGCTAAATCCTTGTCTTGCAGGTGCTAGGATTCCTTATGGAAGCCTTTTGTCTCCTAGCTCCTCCTCTTCCCATCCAGCTCCCTGCTTGTGGCATGGGAAAGTAGTAGAAGATGGCCCCAGGCCTTGAGACCCTGCACCCAGACAGGGGACCCAGAAGAAGCTCCAGGATCCTGGTTTTGGATCAGCTTAGCTCAGGTCATTGCAGTAAGTTCAGGAATGAATCTGCCTTTCCAATAAAAACAAATAAATCTTACAAAAACAAAAGGCACAAATTCATTAAGTTAACTGACTCCCATAAAGCAGATTGGGATTTTCTGTTAGAGAACTGTCCTCCACTCACACTCTGAAGTAGTTCCCTGGCTACACAGTTAAAAGTGGGCAGGGATAAAGTCCTTGTATGGGTCGGACATCAGCACAGTGTTTAAGGGAGTGCCTGGGTCTGGATTCAAGTCCTGACTCTGCCCCCCATTCCAGCGGCCTGCTGATGTGTGCCCTGGGAGGCAGCAGATGACTCAGGGTGTCCCTGTCATCCATGCAGAGCTGGATTAACTTCCCAACTCCTGCTGCTCTGGGCACCAGTGGAGCGAATCTGTGGATGACAGGTCTCGCTCCCTCTCTGCGTCTCTCAAATAAATATATATTTAATGTAAATGTTCATTTTTAACATTAGAAATCTATGACCAGGACATGACCCAAGTCTGAAAAGCTACTTGGCCCGTTCTTCTGGGGAGCACTAAGAAACAAAGTCAGTCTAGGAATTAAGGTCTTGAAGCCCTCGTAGGGAGGTGTCGACCTAAACTGAAGATGCTTTGCTTTGTCCATGAACATGGCCGTGTGTGTGTGTGTGTGTGTGTGTGTGTGTGTGTGTGTGTGCGCGCACACACCCTGATCAGGACGGCCGAGGGAAGCAGTGTTAGGCTCCAAGTCCTCCAAGGTGAATGTGCGCTGGCAGATGGAGGTGACAAACACCTATACGTCCTCTGGTAACTGCAAAGCTATTAAAAGGCTTTGCTAATAGACAACCAAGAGTAACCCAGGGGCCAGCACAATAGCTAAATCCTCACCTTGTATCCGCCAGGATCCCATATGGGCGTTACTTTGTATCCCTCTGCTCCACTTCCCACCCAGCTCCCTGCTTGCGGCCTGGGAAAGCAGTCGAGGGCGGCCCAAAGCCTTGGGACCCTGTGCCCATGTGGGAGACCTTGAAGAAGCTCCTGGTTTCAGATCGGCTCAGCCTCAGCCATTGCAATCACTTGGAGAGTGAACCAGGGGACAGAAGATCTTTCTCTCTCCTTCTCTCTGTGTTTCTACCTTTCCAATAAAGATAACTAAACTTTTTAAAGAAGTACTTTACATGTTCTGGACACCCTGTTTCTTTGTCAGATATGTGGTTTGCAAATAATTCCCCTAAAAAAACAAAACACAAAAAGTAATTCAACAAGCATTCATTACAAAAAGGAATTTATTGGACAAACACAATCGAAAGACTGAGTCTAAGGATTTGGTTGAAAAACTGCCGTGACTTTGAAAGCAGCGGAAATCCAAAGCCTCACGTTGAAGTATGAGTGTGTGACAGCCACACACCAGTCCAGGCCGGGGACCGGGATGAAATGCCCCCCACTTATTACAGCAACCCAGCTTCTTACACATCTGGCCTTTACACAACCCAAGGAGACAGAAGGCGTGTTTACCATCCAACCAAGCGAACACAACGAAGTGCTCTCTTCCACTCACATCCACTTTAATCTCATCTGGCACCTACTGTTTTTGAGAAAGTCAGAATGTATAGTTTGGGGGCATTTTTTTTCTTCTTTAATTTAGATGGAAAAGAGTCAAATTAGCAAGTTAACACATCATAGTCTTTCATCTGAAGAGAGCCCCATGAATATGACGTCTTCAGGAGATGGGGAATATTTCTGATTTTTTTTTTTTTGAAAACACTAGAACTTGAAGATTTAGAAGGCAATTAACGAAAGCAGAACCCCGTGTGTGAAGCCCTCATGGCTGGGTCTATTCCCAACACGGCTTTGGCACTGCTCTCAACACACAAGCAGTTCTTTTTTTTTTTTTTTTTCCCCAAAAAACCCTTACAGACTTCTGCTCATTCCCCATCATGGGAAGTCTGGAACAAAAACTGCCTTCGGGTCAGAATCTTAGGTGTAAAACAGGCAAGGCTGTAGTGCTTGTGGTCGCAGCAGCTCCCCAACCTCGCTGACTCCAACGTTAGAACAGGCAAGCCAGAACCCACGGCCTCGGGGCTTCCTGAGTGTGGTCCTGAGTCCCTCCCTCCTGGTCGTTTGTATGCTCTTGGGGTCACGTTCAACCTGTTGTCAAACCCTGCAGAACAACACACCCGGGCCTCCTGTGGCAGGTGCGGCAAAGCTGCGCAGCCTCCCCCCCGCAGAGCTTTCTGGCCAACTCAGAAAGGCGAGGCAGCCACGCTCTCAGAAATAACCCACCCGGCGTCGGTTAGGAACAAGTCATGCACTCCAGTCCAAATCTTAATTGGGAATCTAGAGACATCGTCCTTCCCCTATGTCAAACACTGCATTTGCCACAGTAGTGCGCGCCAGTGGGCCCAGTCATCCGTGATCTTGCCCAGGATTGGGGAGGAACCGCCGGGTTTGGGCCTTGGGCGTTCTGATCACACACCGAGCGTGATAAGAACGCCGAAAGCGCCTCCCCACCCCTCCCCCACCCCCGCAGGAGTTACACTCTGACTCCACCCCAGGTGCCACGCCCTCGGGTCTCCAGCCTGGCCCTTCGCTGGCCTCACCTGAACACCAGACCCTCAAAAAGAGCCCTGGGGCCGAATTGAACCTGCCTGGGAGAGAAGCGCAAAGTCCACAGACAGCAAGGACCGAGGGCACAGAGAGCCCATCCGGGACCCTTGGCGGCCAGGGCGCAGATGGCAGCGGAGAGCGGCTTCTCCCGCCCTCTGGCGGCGTCTCCCGCAGCCGGAAGGGAAGGGGCGCGCAGACCCCCGCGCGCCAGGAGAGGGCAGTCCGCGCGCGGCTCTGCCTTCCGTGGAGGAGCCCCCACCGCCTTGCCAATCCCTCGCGATGCCGCCCCTATGGGCACCTCGACGGGCTCCGAGCTTATAAGTGCGGGGCGTAGAAGGGGGCCAAGTAGGAGTGGCCGAGGAAGGGCGCGAAGGGACTCCCGGCCGCGGCCGTGAGCGGGAAGGAGGCGGCGGCCGGGAAGAGTAAGTTGGCCGCCGAGTAGGAGGGGAAAGTCTGGAAGGGCAGAGCGCCGGGGCCCGGCGGGCCTGGGCTGCCCCCCGTGCCGCCCCCGCAGGTCCCCGCAGCGGCCCCCGACGTCCCGGACTGGGGCGGGCCGCCCCCCGCCTGCGCCGCGCCGTCGGCGCCCGGGTTCTGCTTCTTCCACTTGGTCCTGCGGTTCTGGAACCAGATTTTGACCTGCGTCTCGGTTAGGCTAAGCGACAGCGCCAGGTTCAGGCGCTCGCACACGGACAGGTAGCGCGTGGCGCGGAACTTGTTCTCCAAGGCCACCAGCTGCTCGTAGGTGAAGGCGGTGCGCGCGCGCCGCGGCTTGGCGCAGCTGGGCTCTGCGCGCCGGCGCCGGGGCCGCGGGGAGCCGGGAGGGCCCGGGGAGCCCACGGGGCCGCCCCCGCCGGCCGCCGCCTGCGCCGCCGCCCGAGCCTCGGGAGAGCGCGCCGCCGGCTCCCGCTGCCGTGGCCGCCCGGCGGCCTCCGCGTCCTCTTCTGCCGCCGCCTCGGCCTCCGAGCCCTCCAAGGGGGATGCGGGACCGGCGCTTTGGCCCGCAGCATCTAGGGGAAAAGCGGATGAGTCACCGGAAGGCCGGAGCGACCCTAACCCTGCGCGTCCCCACACCTCCTGCCGACTCTTCCCGGAGCGCTGAGCACGGCCTCCGGCACCACCCCAGACTCGACTCGGTTCCCCGCACGCCTGCACTGCCTCGGGCGGGCTTAGGAGTGGCGGGTCCTTTTGATCTGCACAAACGGGCCCCTGAGAGAGCGTCCAAAAAGTCAATGTGGAGCGCACGTGGCCCAAAAAGTGTGGCCTTGTTGGGCAGCCTTACGGAGCCGCGGAGCGGAGACTGCTTGGGGGCCTGGGATCGCCCAATCTGAGACATCCAGACGTCAAGTGCGTCTAGAACCGTACTCTCCCGGTCTTTGGAAGCCCATTTTGGCCCGGGACTCTTTGCAATTAAGAGAAGTTATTACGCTCCCCGCCTCCCACCTTTAGGTGAAATCCCCTTTCCCATCTTCTCTCCCTTGCCGTGTTAATAGAGTTTCAGATTTGTGCGGGGCCGGATCGATAGATGTCATCTATTAAAGGTAAGTTTTAATCGAACAATATTAGGATCAGACAGAGAAAGGGGGTTTGAAGTCGGTACCTGCAAGCTGCGGGCAGGAGATATGCAGGCTCCAGTAATAGAATATCGATCACGGGGTGGTGGGAGGGGCGCGCGGCCCCTCGGAGACCGTCCGAACAATTACCCTGCCGGCAGCCGGACCCGAACACGGCCTCCAGAGGCGCCTCGGGGGTCCCAGACAATCGCAGCCAGATTTGGGGCGAGGGAGCAGAAGAGGGGTGTGCCGCCTAGAGCTTCCCCTGGGAACCTGGGCCCCTGACCTCCTGACCCTCTGGGTCCCCTGGGGAGCCTCCTGTGCACTGCCCACCCAGCACTAGTCCTGTTCTCTCCTTCCAGCCAGAAACTCTCCTTGCTGTAGGTCAGTCAGAAGCCAGAGTTTGGCAGAGGAAGTGCCAAGGCTGCCATCCCCCAGGTCACCCTAGAGGGTGGGGAGAGCAGGGAAGAGGGGTGGCATAGGCAGCCAAGTCTCTGCAGGTGGTTAGAAATGGGCACCTAAGCCCGCTACTCACCCCACGACACGGGCACGACTCGGTCAGAAAACGGGAGGGATGGGATTGATGCTGCTTGCCTCGCAGGTTCCCACGTTTTTCATTATCTTTCTCCTAGTACATTAAATGCCCCATACCAGAACGTGCCTGGCAAGGTGAGCGCCTGGTGGGTGCAGTTAGAACTGGGATGGGACCTCAGCGGGAACCCTCTGCTGAATTCTGGAGCCTTGCGTTCGCTGCGCTGCACCTGCTACATTCACACCCTGTTCTGTGCACCTCTGTTCTTTGGAGAGGATGCCATTAAAGGCCATTCACCGGACACTGGCAGCGCTCCCCTCACCTCCCTGGAAACACACACACACACACACACACACACACACACACACACACGACTCTCTGACGGGCGAACCCGGGTCCAGGACTGCCTCGCGTTCTTACCAGATCTCTGCTGTCGTACCGGCTCCCCCGGGCTGGCGTCCTTCTCCGCTTCGACCTCCGCCAAACTTTTCTTGGCTTCCCAGGAAGCGGGGTGCACGACTGGGAGAGAAGCACGCGTGAATTTCTGCGGGTCCAGGATGTCGAGGACTGAGAAGGAGATCTTGTGATGGGCAGGAGGCGCCTTGGCCCCGCCGTCCTGCCATGCCAGCATGCCCGCTGCCCGCAGGCCAAAGGCCGGCGGTGCAGAGTCCCGGGAGAGCCGGTGTCGCGCGCGTGTTCAGCTGTGGCTCCGGCTGTAGCTCTCCAGTCGCAAGCAGGGTTTGCGCCGCCAAGTGAAGCTGGGGAGGGGGAGGCGGGGCGGAGAGACAGCTGCGGGGGGCCGCTCGCCGATTGGCACTTGCGGGGAGGGTGGGGGCCCAGCCACGTGCAGGGCGCGCTGGCGCTGCTCGGGCCTCTGACCTGGGCTAGGACGACAGTCAGCATGTCCTATACACGCGCCCGCGAGAGCATCACTGCCTCCGCGCGCCTCCACTCGAGCCTCAGGGGCTCCGGAAAAGCAGGAGGGAGGCTTCCGTCCCCTGCGTCTCTCTTACACAAGCAAAGCCTCCTGACTTGAATTTGCGCTGTATTCCCGGTGCTTCCGCCCTTAGTTAGGAATTGAAGACTCCGGGCAATGCTGAGGGCGTCTGCTGCTCCCATTGCAGCAAGACCTGCCCTTCCGCTTTCCTGAGCGTCCCTGTGACGCGGCTGTGGCCTGGCCAGACCTCTGCACCTGTTTTAAAGATGAGGAGATTGAGGCTGAGGTGAGAAGTGATTTGCTCAGGGTCACCGTTAGTTGGTGACAGAGTCTGGGGTCAGTGCCTTTCTTGGTACATCCTGATGTCTGGGGCCAGTGGAAGGAAACCGTGAACTGTGCCTGACTGAACCTCACCAGGCCAGAGAGCAGCAGAGAGGTGACTGAGCCCTGCCCAGGATAGTCTACCTCTTGGGAAACCTCCCACAGGGCCAGGTCACCCAAGCGCAGCCCTGCTTCTTCGCTCTGACCTGCCAACCGTTATACCGTATTCCCGATTCTGTGTCATTTGCAACCGAAATTGCGTCCTGGATGAACAGGTTGCACCTCAGACCTTCATCCCTCGCGGCTCAAAAAGAAAAAAACCTGCTGCCAGGTTTGAATTTAAGGCTGGAGAAGAGAGACTGCAGGGCCCCCACTGCCTCCCCCAGGCCCCCCGGAGCCCCCTGCCCCGCCCCGCCTCCGGGGTGCCTCGCCTTTCTTCTTTTGTCACAGCCTGGGAGCGCTCCATTTCAGAGGCGAATTCTGAGGCTTCTCCCTGACCCTCCGCCAGAGCCAGCTTCCAGCTCGGCCCCTTCTTTCTTCTCTGCCCCATGGGGTTTCCAAACAAATGACCCGGCAATTAGTATTGTCTGAGCAGGTAAGGAGCGGGAGCAAAAGTCTGAAAATGCGGGGGCTGCTATTCCCAGCTGCTCTGGAAGAGGTGTCCTCTGAGGCCAGCTCCTGGTAGCTTTTCTCATTCAAACATTTCGGACCCCTCCCAGAGGTGGCCGCTGGCATTCCCGCAGACTTTAAAGTCCCGCCAGCTCCAGTCCCACAGTGAAAATGGATTGTGCTTTTAAAGCCCAGGACAGGAACTGCCTGGCACAAGTCCCCCACACCCGCCAAGAGAGAGAAAACAGAGGAAGAATCGTCCTGGAGCCAAACCGTGGCACCTGGGAACCTGGATTGCAAGCCATGGAAGCTTCTTGAAGCCCCTCTAGGGTACTTTATTTTCTGTTTACGCAGCTCCCTCTCACCCAGTTCTCACTTTTTCAGACCTTCCTCTTCCCCTCCCCCACTCCCTGTTGACTGCAGCTCCTGTCTTCCCATCTGTGTTTATAGAGTGTATGTCCTTGAGTTTCTCGAGGTGGTGAGAGATGGCTCCTTCTAGGCAGCCGAGGAACAGAAACGCCCTGTGTGCCTCTTCTCGCCCTCTCTGCATGCCCCCTTCTCAGCCTTTCCTGGAGGGAGCTGGAGCCCACTTCCACAAGCTGGAGGCCAGCCTTCCAGAGAGCGCCCATTATCCGGAGCAGAAGGTCCTCAGATGGCCAGGAGTGCCCAAGCCAGGGTCATTCCCAAGACACTTTATACAGTGTCCTGTAAGAGGCGGTTTAAATTATACAAGCCATCTTCCCACTGAGGACCACAGAGCAAGGCAAAAGCACACAATGGGCAAATATTCTTTCATCTTGTGCATCTTCAAGAGGTCTTTTTAGGGCCCGGCGCAATGGCTCAACTGACTAAATCCTCCCCCTGCAAGCGTCAGGGTCCCATATGGGCACAGGTTCATGACCCGGCTACTCCACTTCCCATCCAGCTCCCTGCTTATGGCCTAGGAAAGCAGCAGGGGACCAGCCAAAGTTTGGGACCCTATACCTGTGTGGGAGTCCTGGAAGAAGCTCTAGCTTCTTGCCCCCTGGCTTCAGACCAGCTCAACTCCAACTGTTGCAGCCATTTTGGGAGTGAACCAGCAGATGGAAGACCTTTCTTTCATCTCTTCTCTTCATAAACCTGTCTTTCCAATAAAAATATATAAAGATTAAAAAGAAAAGAAGTTCTTTTAGTGATTTTTAAACATGTTTCCAGCTTTGTACTTTCCCAGTGCTGCTGGTGTGTGTGCTTGGCGCAGTGAAGGGTTCTCAAGTCAGCATTTAGCTTCCTCTCATGCATGACACACAGCAACCGTGCTGCACCTCCCGCCGACACTGCAGTAGAAATGTTCTCTTATTCACCCATCTTATAGAGAACCCCTCAGCATCCGGGACAGGGTGAACGCTTCAACTTAGGGAGTGTTGGAGGAGGAGGCTCTAGAAAATTCTTTTGCTGACCGCTTGCTTTGCACTGAACCAGGAAACCATGATGCTTCCCCTTTGGGACAACATGGCCATGCATTTGACTCACGAGCACCCTCATACATGCGTTTATACCCAAAATGATCTCCTTAGAATAGCTGGACCTGTACCCAGCAAGCCACTTTCCCTCCCCTCTGTGCATGGAGTTGATTTTTTCTTTTTTCAGCACAAGCATTAGCATTCCACCCGAGTGTTGTCTTTAAATTGCTTCGATGCTAGGTGGGCTCCAACCCTGACCTGTCCTGATGGCAAGTGATGGCTGTAACAAGCTCAGGATCAATATTCATAGCGGGTGTCCTGGGCTGATAACACTCTCCAAGACAATGTTCACCATCGGCTCAGACAGCTGAGATATTGCGCCATTAGGGATGTTGTGTTAAATAACCTGATCCATTTCTGGGGCTATTTAATGAATTTCACAGTTTAGATAGTATCTTTAAGGAGACGGCAAAGGCTATTCCGGAGGCACTGATGCAAATCGATGGTGCCAAGCTTCCCAAGCTGTTACACAAACAAAGCGGCCTATGATTCCAGCACAGCCTTGGGGAGCTGCTGCTCCACCAGGAGCAGGGCAACAACGGGAAGAATCTGCAGATCAGGCTCACGGAGGGTGGACGGTATTGTGAACCACATGCAGGCACCCTAGATAAAATCATACGTTCATGGAAGAAAATACCACCACCCTGCCTTGACATACAGGCTGAAGAGACAACTTCATAAAGCAGAGCCCGGTAACAGGGTGGGGGATGGCATGGGAAACTCCTTGGACTTTTAAAAAGTTATTTAATCATTTGTAAGGGAGAGTGAGAGAGAGAGGGAGAGACAGATCTTCCATCAGCTGATTCACCACCCAAATGCTTGTGAGAGCTAGGGCTAGGTCAGGCCAAAGCCACAAACCCCAGGAGCTCCATCTGGGCTCCCCTGTGGGTGACAAGAACCTAGGACACCATCTGCTGCCTCCTGGTGTGTTAGCAGGAAGCTGGAGGGAAGCTAAGCAGCCAGGGCTGGAATCAGACACTAAGATATGTGGTGGGAGCAGCCCCGTGCACTGTCCGAAACACCTGCCCTGAGGACATTCTCTTGACCCAAGGCCCCAGCAAGTTTCTCCAACTCAAATCAGTCTGTGAAACAGGAGGGACAAGATTCCAAATTTTTCAGGACAACTGCTGACAGCAGAGTCCCTGGTAGCGGGGGAATTCATTTATAATCCAAAGCTGCACTTGCCATTTCAGAGCTTTGGGTTCTAGATGCTCTAAAAAGCTAAAATGTTGATTTGGGAAACTGATTTCCAAGTATTGCCTTCCATCTGTCCCAAACCACAACCAAAATGTTTACTTAACATACTTCACTAGAAAAAGCCAGCATATCTTCATGAAAATCCAGAGTTTTTGTTTGTTTGTTTTAAGCAATTTGTTTATCTAGGAAATACAGAGGAAGCATCAGAGAAGGTGATAGGGTGCTACTGGCGAGAATCTGCCGTGACTGGTTCACATGATATCAACAGCAGTAGCTGTCCTTCCTGGATGCCTGCCCTGGCCCAGACACTGGGCTAAGCTTTCCACACATGGTTTCATTCATCCCTTCCCAGACCGACTAAGTTGGCATTTTTTTTTTTAAAGATTTGTTTATTTTTCTGAAAGGCAAAGCGACAAGAAAGGGGAGGGGAAAGAGATCTCCCATCTGCTGGTTCACTTCCCAAATGGCCACAACGGCCAGAGCTAAGCTGACCTGAAGCCAGGAGCCTGGAGCTTCCTCTGGATCTCTCATGTGGGTGCAGAGGCATAAGGACTTGAGTCATCCTTCACTGCTTTCCCAGGCCATAAACAGGGAGCTGGATGGGAGGCAAAGCAGCTGGGACTCGAACTGACACCAGTACGGGATGCTGGTGCTGCAAGCATAGGCTTATCTTACAGCCAGCTGTGTTATTATTTTCTAAAGATTTGCTTTTTTATATAAAAGTCAGAGTGGCACAGAATAGTAATGTGCAGAGGAGAGAGATCTTCCCTCTGCTGGTTCAGATCCCACATGCCTGCAACAGCTGAGATGGACCAAAAGCTCAGAACTCCATCTGGGTCTTCCATGTGGGTGGCAGGAAGCCAAGTACTGGGCCACCTGCTGCTGCCTTCCAAGGCAGGCTAGCAGGAAATTGGAAGCAGAACTGTCAGAACTTGAACCAGGTACTCAATGGGGTTGCATGCTATAATGTCCACCCTGAAGGCACTGTTCATTTGTTCAAAGTATTTTGGGCCCGGCACAATGACTCAATGGCTAAATCCTCCACCTGCAAGTTCCAGGATCCTAAAT